TTGGGCAGCAACAGCAGGTTTCCCCTGGAGTATGAAAACATTTCATCCAGTCGATGAACAGAGTCCTTCAGGTGTTTACTGAATTTTATTAAGGCGTGGATGTGAAAAAATAACTGTTCAAGATATATCTTCTATGAATGACAGATCATTTACTTTCTATGTGTTTTCTTTCTTAATGTTTCAAGGATAGATTTTTTTTTTTTAAGTATCTTTGTCAGGAAGCAGTAGCGATTGGTGTCCTACTGTAACACTTAGATTACTTCTAACCTGGACTAATTTATGCACTAATCAGGAATGAGCTACAGAGAGCATTTTTCAAAATTGTGCCAATTTATTGGGCTTTGCCTACTTCCCTGTGTTACACCCAGAGGTGCAGTCTAGCCCTAATTATTCCTTCATGTTTAAAGAAAAGTGTCATTTATTTGGATCTGGATCGCCTGCCCAAATCCAACCAACCAAAGAGATATTCTGCAACCTCCTCATATGACATTGCAGACCACAGAATGCCTTCTGTCTCTTAAAGTCCCTTCACATCTTCAACAACACCACAAACTGCTGAAAGAATGGTTTGAGTCAAAAAAGTCTGTGCTGCTTCAGCTGCTTTGGTCTGTCTAAATTTACATAAACAGCTTACTTAATGACTCATGAGTAAAGGAGAAGTTCGGTCAAATTCAGAATTCAAACTTCTGAAAAGTACTTTAAATGTGAAATTATTACATACTTTTCAATAAATGATAAGTGTTTCTAATTAAGAGTATTTTTCATTTGAACGTGCTTTACTGGAGGCATCCATGTTTGTCAAAGAGCACTACTACCAACTACAGGTTTGTGACGTCACGGTGTGGTATTGGCTGTTGATCAGGTCCAAGTGCTGTAACTGGCGTTTGTCCGAACTCGCTATATTCCAAGTCATCTTGAAAACATTCTTCTTTGAAATGTTGGCTACATATGATGTGTTTTTTCTCTGGTCAGAAATTCGGTGGCAAATCCTCCCTCTTCAAGTTGGCAATCCAACAACGAACCCGTGGTGGATCATGAAATGGAAAGGTGAAATAACTAATTATTTTTCACTTTTACCCAATGTATTACAACATCCAACTGCCATGCACGTAGACATTGTCAGTTGAATTATAGCTCTAGTGAATTTCAATGATAAAGTTGTCTCGATATCTTAAATAATTGTTGCCGATTGCAGATGTGTCTCATAGTTCCCATTGATTTTGCTTGTAAAGCGGGGAGAATGGCTCTAGGCTTACAGTCACTGTCGGAAGATGTCGGGAGTGAGGTGTTACTTTATATTGGGGCAAAAATGGCCAGTCCCAGACTCAGTGATCGCAACAAAAAATTATTGCTTTTATCTTTTTACTGATTAACTTTAAATTCATTAGATCACTGCAAATGTATTAGTTTTAGTATAGATAATGATCTATTGATTATTCCATGCTGACCGGACTTCACCTTTAAAATATTTTATCATTAGCATTCAGAGGTTGGCATGGACATGTGAAAAAAATCTCATAACACTGAAAAAAACATTCTTGTAATTGCTGAGCAAGGTGGTGCATTCCATTACCTTTAGGGTTCTGTACTGTGGCTCCCTCTAAACCAAAAACATGGCTGCTAGAGACCTGTCAAGTGTGCTATCATCAGGGCTTCTCTTGCTTTAGAAAGAAAGAAAAAAATTTAGAGGGAAAACCATCCTGTATCAACCCTTCTTTTCTAACTTTAGCATTAGACCTTGGAGCATCCACAATGTGCTGCAGTGGTAAAAGAAAAGTAATATTCACAAAAATTTACAAAAGTAAATTTTCAGCACAAAAATGTAATCAATAAATGAAGAGTATGTTTGGTTCTGATATATTAACTGAAACGATTTTAGCGACCTCACTAAAAGGTAACTGACAAAGGTTTTCAGTGATATCATAACTCATTGTGAAATGTATATCTGTGTGCAAGCGTGTGGAAAGAAGCGGCTTGACAAGGAACAATATGTGTTGTGCAGTCAACACAACTAGTCGGACACCCACAAACCTTAATGGTCAATCCTTCCAAAAAATGTTAAAAAACAATCCACCGGACTTTATTTCCAAGTTGGAAGATGTTTTGCTTCCCATCCGGGAAACTTTCTCAAAAATGTCAGATATGGTGTTTGAACAGAATTTGTGGCAAATATATTCCATGTGTGTGCAGAATTAACTGTTTGACTATGATTAGAGCTCGAATCACTCTTTCCTAGTAGGGCGTGTGTTCATAAATAGTATATAGCAGCCGAAATAATATCTGATCAAATAAGATAGTTTACCACCCCTACCTGGGAGGGCAATAAACATCTTAAAGTATCAGAAATATAAAATCCCAACATTAATATGACATCCTAACTGGATGGACATTGAACTTAAAATCACAACATTAATTGGCAACCCAGGTTGGTGGCCCATTGAATATTACTTTTCCAGTGACTTGTTGACATGAACAGCTTCCTGTTTTCAAAAGTATTTATATTAACGGAGTATCTTCGATTTTATTTATTTTTTTTTTAAGAAATTCTGAGTTGTTCCTAAATGCAGCAGCTGGAAATATATAGTCAACCCCCCCTGCTGACCTGTCAGTCATTGTTCCACACCCATGTGACCCTCTTTGAAAATTCAGAGAGCCTGCTATGGCCAACATTAATTAATTCTGTGATTTTCTTGTTGCAGAAGCATTTAATTTCATTTACAGCACCATCATCTACTATTAATGTTCTTGGCTGTTCTCTTCAAGGTCATCCTACAGGGCAGGGAACCTGTTTTTAGAGGAATCTCACTATCCTTATCTCAGTGGGTCCTTCTGTATCCTTTGTTTTGGAAAAAACAGCTTTTTGCACCGGTTGATACTTGGAACAGAAGATGTTTCTCTGAAGTCTTAGCCAGTTTTGTCATCTAAATGTGGCTTCTACCACTTTTCAGATCCGGGTTGCTTTGGCTATGAATTAAGAAGCTAAAAAGGGCTAAAAATAGATGGAGGCGGGGAGCAAGAAAGAGATGTGTCTGAGCAGGCAGAGGGGCGGAAGAGGTGGAAGGTTAAATCTTGAGGTCCAATTTGCTCTGCAGGATCTACAAGATCCTAATCTCTCTTACTGCTTAGTGTAAAATTCATAGAATGCCACCAGTTGTATAATGTTGCTTACTGTGTGGGATATGCTACCTACTTTAAATTAAGCATAACAAAAGTTAATAAATTAAGTTAAAAACTTAATAAGCTAAGTAAAAAAGTTCTAAAAAAATAATTAATCCCAAAAAATTTTCAGATAAGTTAAAGAAAACAAATGAAGTACCTGTATAGGCACTGATTTTCTGTTTTGAGTCCAGGACTTGCTGCAAGGCGACAGTGCTACCAACTGCACCACAGAAAAAAAAAACAAAAACAAAAAAACCATGCACAGCAGCACTCAAAGAGTGGTAGCACAAAAGCGTTTTGACTGATATTGCATGTTGTAAATTGACATAAGACCTAAGACGTGTTTTACCTATGTTGTGCCATAAGCCATGATCATACTTTTTGGACATTGGGAACCAGTGTCCATATTTCATCTTGACATGTTGATGTGGATCAGCTGTGGAATATTTGCAACAACCCCCATTTCAGGCAAGGCCTCCACAGGCAAGTCACATGGAAACCACCAGAGGTGTGAAAACCTACCCCACTCCCTGTGAGGACAGAGAAAACCAGAGAGCACACAGAATTCTTCTCTTCTGTTCCAGCCGTTCTTTTCCTCCTGCTCCCTTTGGCTCCTGCTCTCCTTGTCTTGTCTCCCTTGCCCAGGGAGCTGGGGTCCGCTGTGGTGGAGATGCGGGCCCCAGGGGAACCAGATCCCCAGAACCATCAAGGATAAGTCAGAACCTTTCAGAACCGAACTGCTGCAAACAGACCTTTTGCAACACATTTCTCTTGAGTTTCAGAACTTTTAGAGCCAAACTGGATGCCCATGGGTGTGAGACTGAGGAGGCCCCTGCTGTGAGACTGAGACAATGAGTCCCTGACTGCAGAGCTGAAAAACTGGATGAAACTCAAGCTTTCCA